CCCCCACTGTGGGGCCCTTCGGGGAGCTCCCTATGGGGCCACGAAACGCTGCCCTGGGTGGGAACCGCATGCGAACACCCCCACTGGGGCCTTCGGTGGAGCTCCCTATGGGGCCACGAAACGCTGCCCTGGGTGGGGGAACCGCATGCGAACACCCCCACTGGGGCCTTCGGTGGAGCTCCCTATGGGGCTACGAAACGCTGCCCTGGGTGGGGGAACCGCATGCGAACAACCCCACTGGGGCCTTCGGTGGAGCTCCCTATGGGGCCACGAAACGCTGCCCTGGGTGGGGGAACCGCATGCGAACACCCCCACTGGGGCCTTCGGTGGAGCTCCCTATGGGGCTACGAAACGCGTGAGAGGTGCGCCGAGAGCAGAGGCAAGGAGGGGGAGGAGGGAGGAGGGGGAGGAGGAAGGAGGAGGGGAACGCGGGGCACCGTCTCTTCAAAACGAGGACCCAACACCACAGGATGGTTGGGAAAAAAACTGCGCGCAACGGTCACTTGAATGCGGATCAACTAAACATTGTGTGCATCTACGCAACGCCCCTGGCTGCGAGCTGCCAACCAGCAGTTGACGAACGCGAGGGGCGCCCCTGGCTGCTAGCTGTCAACCAGCAGTTGACAAACGCTAGAACAATACAAATATCGCATTCAACGGTAACTTAAACGCGAGATAGCCAACCACAGCTGTGCATTCCTTTGTGAGCACGTTCAACCAGCAGCTGACATCATATGCTCACATGAACTCGAATAATACGAATAGAAACGCTGTGCGCCTCAATGGTCAATCGACGAGCCATGCAAGAATTATATCAACTAAACTTCTGGAGAGAATGCTGATTATTGACATATGTTCGACGCGTTTCCAGGGAACGGAGGAACTATCACTGCTTGCGCTTCGGCGCGCGCTTCTGCTTCGGCGTTTTTTTTTTTTTTTTTTTTTTTTTTTTTTTTTTTTTTTTTTTTTTTTTTTTTTTTTTTTTTTTTTTTTTTTTTTTTTTTTTTTTTTTTTTTTTTTTTTTTTTTTTTTTTTTTTTTTTTTTTTTTATTTTTTTTTTTTTTTTTTTTTTTTTTTTTTTTTTTTTTTTTTTTTTTTTTTTTTTTTTTTTTTTTTTTCTTTTTTTTTTTTTTTTTTTTTTTTTTTGTTTTTTTTTTTTTTTTTTTTTTTTTTTTTTTTTTTTTTTTTTTTTTTTTTTTTTTTTTTTTTTTTTTTTTTTTTTTTTTTTTTTTTTTTTTTTTTTTTTTTTTTTTTTTCTCTTCTCCCCTTCTCCCCTCCCAACGACATGCATGTGTCTGGATAGTTATGGTGATCATTCCTGGAAGGCCCCGCGGGGAACTTGTTGCGCTATAAACAATAATGGTACAAGAAGCATCGGTAGCGCGCGCGCTTCATCTTTGACAGCCAAGTTAATTTGTCCAAACGCGACCACAACTGTTCCGCCGCTTGAGAATTCAATGTCTTTTCATGAACGATGGCTGGGGTTTTGCATTTGTGCTTCCTGCTGTGATACCCATCCAAGTGACATGCATCGCACAGCGTTCCTTCGACATGCTTGGCGGCCACGCATGCGCAATCGCGCGCGTACTTGCCACCAGTCATTCTCTTTTTCTTCGTGCCAACCAAACATTCTTCTTGGTATGCTGTATTCTCACCATGCAGCATTTCTCCCACGTGAAGGATTTCGTTGCCACCTCCCTTGCGGTTCTTTATGTTCACGGTTGCGTAGAGCACCCCAGTTTGAGCGCGCATAATCTTCATGTTCTCAATTTGAGTGACCGCTTTGCACCTCGATGTAGATTTCGCCTTTGCTTTAGCAGCGGCCTGCATCTTCTTGATGAGTCTCTCTACCTTTTAAGTGTTCGGACGTCCAGGAATATTTTTCTTTGCATACTTTTTCTCTGTCTCCGCAAGCTTCCGATTGCGCATTGAAAGTTACCATCGGTTACGACGTCAAGCTTGCCGCGCGGGTGCTTGTATAACGGGTCGTCCCGGGCAGCGTTGACAATCACATGCAAACCTTTGTCGTCCGCGTCGAAAACTTCGTCACCGTCCTCCTCCTCCTCCTTCTCCTCCTCCTCCTCCTCCTTTTTGCCCACAAGAGGCGCAGGAACCGAAGCAGAGCCGAGTGCTGGAAAGACATGCGGCCACGTGCGCATCCAGCTCTCGCAGTCGCTTTCCTGCTCCTCCCTCCCTCCCCCTTCCCTTCCTCCTCCCTTCCTCCCTCATTTTTTCCCCTCCTCCTCCCTCCTCCCCTCCTCCTCCCTCCCTCCCCCCTTCCCTTCCTCCTCCCTCCTCCCCTCCTCCCCCCTTCCCTTGCTCTTCTCTCCTCCTCCTCCCTCCCTCTCCCTTCCCTTCCTCCTCCCTTCCTTCTCTCTTTCCCTTTTTCCCTCTTCCCTCCTCCCGCCTCCTCCGCTTCTTCTTCCTTTTCCGTAGGGGGGAACTAACGGTGAAGAGACGAAAGAGGGTGGACGACCCCCCACCCGACAACGAATCTTCTCAGATTCGTTGCCACTCACCGTCTTACCTATATATATATATATATATATATATACACATAAAATAGACGTATCGATTTATGGGTTTTTGCTTGTGCTCGTCGAGGTGAGGCACGCTCGGTCCTGAACTGAGGACCAGAAGGTGGACACCACGAGCACCGTCATGGACGACACCACCCTCTCGTGCCCCGCCGCGCTCGTTATCGTGAACAGCGTCAGCCTCGGCGGCCGCCCTCGTCGCTCGCCGTCGTGCTCCCTTCCTCTTCCTTCCTCGCCTTCTTCCCTCCTCCCCTCTCGCTTCGTCATTTGCTCCTCCTCCTCCCTCCCCCTCCCTCCTCCCTCCTCCTCTCCTGCTCCCTCCCGCTTTCCTGCTCCTCCCTCGTCTACCCCTCCTCCCTTCTCTCTCCTCCTCCTTTTGCTCCTCCTTCTCCTCCTGCTGCTGCTGCTGCTCCTCCTCCTCCTCCTCTTGCTCCTCCTCCTCCTCCTCCTCCTCCTCCCTTCTCCTTCCCTCTCCTCTCCCCTCCTCTCCCCTCCCCTCCCCTCCTCTCCCATCCCCACTCCCCTCTGACACCTCCGTTGCGAGCGGGAACGTCCGCTAGAAATGGTGCGTGACTCCCTCTGGGGATCGAGCGTCTCCGTCGGCACGCTGGCTGCGAGAGCTGAGAGGAGGACAAGGAGGAGGAGGAGGAGGAGGAGGAGGAGGAGGAGGAGGAGGAAAAGGAGGAATAATAAGAGGAGCAAAGCAGGAGGAGTTGGGAGGAGGAGGAGGGGGAGGAGGAGGAGGAGGAAGAAGAGCTGGGAGGAGGATGAGGAGGAAGACGTCATCGTCACCATTGCCGTCCACGGCGCTTGGCCGTGGCCCAGGGCTTGCATGTTGAACTCGGGCGGGCCCGTTTTTCGGGCTCGCTTCGATTCGCGCCCTCTGACGGGGAGGAGGAGCTGCAAGGAAGACGAGGAGAAGGACCATGGCGAGGAGGATGAGGAGGAGGACGAGGAGCACAAGGGGGCGGTGAACGGGATGAGGGGGGGAGAAGAAGGATCAGGATGAGGAGGAAGACGACGACGATCACGAAGAGGAACAGGAGTATGAGGAGTAGGATGTCGCGCCCCAGCTCCCAGGTGCTCCAGGGCGGCGTAATACAGCGGAATTCAGCAACTGGAGTCTCCCTCGGGTGGGACCTGCAGCCCCGCACAACTCAGCGGTTCCCGGGCGGCTCACGCAGCCCGCCTTCGACGCAGCTGTGCATGCTGCGCTGTCCAAGAGAGAACACCTCCTCTTCATCCAATCTTCTCTCCCTCCCTCCTCTCTCCCCTTCCTCCCTCTCCCTGTTGGGCGCGCCAGGACGGACTACGAGGAAGCATGTCTCTGAAAGGCCCTGAAGCATGAGCAGCCATCAGCGCGGGGGAGGATGTGCTACGTGTGGCTGAAAACCGCCCAACAATCTACGCTGAAGAACGGGAAGATCTGTACAGACCTGGAGTGACGGAGAGACGGGAAACAGAGAAAGACAGCGAGAGAGAGAGAGAGAGAGCGAGAGGGATAGGTGTAGACATACAGGTATACATAACATATGTATACAGGCAATGAGAGCCATAAAGAGAAAGACAGAGAGAGAGAGAGCTGCACACACATGTCTATGGAGAAAAAAACATGTGGATCTAATGAAACATCACCGGTGATGTATTTGATCTTCCGCTTTGCCCCCCATGTGAAGCCGCTGAAAACATCAGCCGCTGCTGCCAAATCTTGCCGATCCCTCCTCTTCGTGCTGATCCGCGCAAAATCCGAGGCGTCAGCATGAGCGACGGGAAGGCGTGCATGGATCGCTGGATAGCGCTCTTTGGCGAAGGGGCGAGATGGAAGACTCGGAGGTGGCGCGGTCAGCACTCTGTTACCAAAACTGCAAGACAGGCAATGCTTTCACACGCTTGCAAAAAGCTATAGTTCAGGCAAGGTGGTTCGGATAAAACTGCGGTGAGGAACGTGGTCAAGGTGAGAAGCAGGCGGAAGAAGGGACGGGCAGTGAAGCGGGTGGGAACAACACGCCGACAAGGAACACACACCGCGAACAACATAACCTCCACCAGTAGTTGGGTAACCGGCTGTAAGGTGATGGGGGCTGGTTGGGGCCAGGAGAGGAGGCGACAATACTGGGGTGAGAGCGAAGCAGACGAAGAGGGGGAAGGAGGACTGATGAGATAATGTGTTGATTAGCAACAAGATCTCTTTTCATCTTGAGCCAAAATAGGTACACGGAGGAGGGTGTCAGAATCACTCCTCCTCGGGCCTGGCCGCCAACCCGGCCAGGCACGACATGCGTCGTACGCGGGCGCGTCCAAGCCGACACGCCCTTCTCAACGTCACGCGCGGGCGCGTCCCAGCCGACGCGCCCATCTCGTCACACGCGGGCGCGTCCAAGCCGACGCGCCCATTTCATCAGCCGGGCTGCGGCCATGCCGCGAGCCCCTCACTTCACCCGTCCGGTGCGATCCTACCGCCACCGGCGGAAACTCATCCAGCCCCACAGGTAGCGGAGCATGGATTCGATCCACTCCTTCACTTGATGTCCTTCTGGGTCGAACTCGGTGCCCGATCCCAGATGTTGAGCGTCGCCATATGTCTCCTCAAGAGAGATCCACCCACGCTCTTAGTCAGCACGTCCGCGACGTTGTTCTTACCAGGAACTGCGGCGATCGAAAGGTCGCCCTTGCCTACACGCTCCTGGATCCACAGGTATCGTGACTGAACATGTCGCATCTTCCCGAGACCTCGCCGTTGGACGTGGCCCCGGGCCGCCGATGAGTCTGAGGCGAGCTCCACCTTCAGGTCCAGCCCCCAGTCTGCGAAGAGGCTGTGTAGACCCAGGCCCACGCTCCCGCCCTTGACCAGGGCGTAGTACTCGCTCTCCCCACTGCTCAGAGAGACCGTCGACTGCAGATTGCTGCCGTGCTTGACGACGTGATGCCCCAGCATCGCCACGAAGCCTCCCGTACTTTTCCGAGTGACTGCACAGCCCGCATGATCGGAGTCCACGTACACCCGGATCTTGTCGAACATCTTCTGCTCCGTGAAGACCGTCACCGTACTGGGATGCCGCTTGAGGTAGCGGCAAACCCTCTTGAGCATGAGCCAACTCGCCTCCGTCGGCGTCTGCATAGACCTGGCGAGCGTCTTCGATGCCTCTGCCAAGTCCAGCCTGTCCTGAGACAGGTAGGCTACCCTCATGGTGAGGGATCGGAAGCGCGAAGCTTCCGCCGCTCCCAGCGCCGCTGACTTCGCGTCCATCATCTGCTTGTCGGCGCTGCGCTTCTCCATCGGCGTGTCCACGCCGTTGGCCTTGCTGAGACCCAGCTCGTCGATCACGATCTCTGCGTGCCGCTTGTCCGGCTCAATCATCGCATGCCGGCAGGGACGGCCACCGCCAGGCGGAACTCCCGCACTGACTTCGATGACCCGATTCAGGAAGACCGCCTGCTTGTCATCGCCCTCGTCGAAGCCGAGGTTCGCAGTCTTCTTGAACTCGTACTTCTTGCCCAACGTGGCTTCGAAGCTGTCGATGTCCTGCTGCTGAGCCAGCGCCGCGAAGTCGTCGCCGTGCCCCAGCAGCCTTGTCTCGTCCACCTCCTTGTAGAAGACCGCTGGGCATGACATGCCCGCCTTGTAGCCGTGTTCCTCCAACAGCTCCGTGTAGTCGCCCTGCCAGATCTTGCTGGCGTCCTGCGTGCCGTACCAGGACTTGAGGAGTAAGCCACACTTGTCCTCGCCGTGCTCCTTGCGACTCTCCTCCTCCAGCTCCACGAAGATCCTTCGCTGCGCCTTCCCGTAGAAGTGCGCCCTGCTGATGTCGAAGAAGCCGATCTTGAAGTTGCCCGGCTTCCTGCCCTTCTTGCGAAGCGACTCCTGAATGTGGAGCGGTGCTTCCCGCGTCCACGTGACCATCAGCGAGACCAGCGACCGCATGGCCTCCAGAGGAGGCATTGCCGAGAAGACCTCGGGCGCCTCCAGCTGCTCGTCCGGACGCTTCTTCGCCTTGATCTCCTTCACGACGAGCCTGCTCCTGTAGTTGGGCCTCTCCGCGTCGCCCTTGTTCGTGTCGACCCACTTGAGTGGGATGGGCGGACGCCCAGTCTCAGCGAAAGCCTGAGACCTCGGGACGATCTCGATCAGCTCCTGCTTCTTGACCCACTCGCGCTCGACCGCGCGAGCCTGGGCCACAAGGCCTGCCTCCAGGTAGCCGCCGTTGACGTCGTCCCAGTAGCTCGTCCAGTCCCCGGGCGGCACCGCCGCGTCCACCGGGACTGGGCCCGACTGCTGCACCTGGGCGGTGCTGAGCTCCCCCACGTCGTTCAGCGTGTCCTTGAGCTCCTCCAGCACCGCCTCCACCAACTTCGGTGGATAGACCTTCGCGAACCGCGCGATGCCGCCCGCGAGCGTGATGTGGCGATGCCACTCCGCGCGTCCGTCCACATTGCTGCAAGTGCCCTGCAGTCTCCGAGCCAAGCCTGGGTGGTTGGTGACCCACCCGGTCTCCTTGCGCACGAACTCCTCCTGGCCACTGCGTGGGTTCGTGAGCTTCATGCCCCGCCGACACATGGGGCCTTTGACCGTGAAGACTCCTGGATGCGCGACCAGCTCCTTGACGATGTCCTCATTCCACGATCGCGCTCCAGGGATGCTCATGCAGGAAGTACCTGCCTGGCTTCCTGAGCTGACGCCAGTAGGCGTCGACTGCCACCTTCAGGTGGTGACTGGCCTCCTCCATCTCAGCCGCCTCCTGCTCATCGGTCCTGAACTTGGCGCTCAGGCCCCTCAGCAAGCTGAACTTCTCGCATGGAGGGGACCCCGTAAGCAGGATGGGATCCATCCGCTCCTGCAGCTCCTCGAGCTCCTTGTTGTCCTCGGGTCGCCGCAAGTCCCACGGCGTCCCGTCCTCCTTGAGTTCCTCCAGGTCCGCCGCGAAGCCCGGGCGCAGCTGGAACTCCGCCGCTCGCGCCGAGAACCGATGCGGCGAGTGCACCTCTGCCACATCCACGGCGCCCAGCTGCAACGCCGATAAGGCGATGCTGTCCACCTCCTCGTCGGCGATGTCCACGCCGACACTGGCCCAGTGGCCGCTGACCTGTACACGAACGAGCGGAAGCAACTCCGCCTTCGCTCTCGTCAGCACTCCGAGCTCGACCAGCTCGATTGACGCCACGTCGAGAGCGAGCACCCGCATGTGTCTCCCCTCGCTGGCGTTCCACACGACTGCCACTCCAGCTGGCAGCTGAGGTCCTTCCGCTGGCGCCGGCTGCGCCGCGAGGTCCTCCATGTCCACCGGTACCGGCGCGTCTGCCGGCTGTGGATCACCGCGCTCGAGGGCCTCCGGCACGTCATCCGGGGCCACCTCCGCCAAGCGCTTCAGCCGCGACCTGGTCGCGGTCATGTCGACATCCTCGGCGGCCTCTGCCGCTCTCACTGCTCCCGAACTGGAGCTCGCTCCTCCTGAAGGAGCCGCCACGCCAGAGCCTGATGCTC